CAAGAATCAGCTATGTTTATCAGTGAAGGAGAATTGACAGGAGTATGATTCTTATGGAACCAAGTTGTTTTAGATCTTCTCATGCAAGCACACAATTTGAAACTGACATCATAGACAAGACTAATTTGATATCTTTTCAGATGATCGGCAACATGTTTATTAACCTCACAATTTTTATTTTCTACTTTAAGATGTTACCTTATAAAAAAAATAATAAATATATATGTTGTAAATTTTAGAACAATTTATGCCCATGAACAAAAATGTTGCAATAGGCATGGAGGCTTTTTTTAAATAATAAATTATAAGTTATAGGGATCAAATAGTTTTTTTTTTGACAGACTGTGAGTGATGGTTATCATTACATGAAAATATTGATGATTCATGTATTTCTTAAATGGACATGAGAAAATACAATTCATGTTAATGTGTATGTTCCACAATTGTATACATCTTTTGCATTTTAAGACGTAAATTTACGTAAATTCCCTGATTTGCGACTTATTACTGATAGTCTATAATGATGTTAAAAAAATCCAACAAGCTTTTCTGTCTATTTAGTCTTTCCATTTCAACATTGAACAGTATTGTAATACATGTATTGTTAAGCAATTACCAATGGAGAACACTCAGTTAATTAAAATTGTACTTAAAATTCAATATCAATAAATTTGAATCATTATAGAATTTAAATTGTATTGAGTCATGAATAATCATGAATAATCATGAAACTTGTGTTGCTATGTAATGTTGAAGATTTTCGAATTTCATAAAGGTTCATCATTGTTCATGAAGTATAAATTTTTTTCAGTATGAATGTGTTCATGAATTATATTCATGAACTACTTTTATGAAACTATTATGAATCTTTTATGAGCATTCATGAACAATGATGAACAACTCATAAAAGTTCTTTAAGTCATGAATATCATCTCGCAGGGGTAACACACCACCGAGGGGACGCGGTCTAATATGGGCTCTGCATTGCCTGTACTGTATAAAGTTGAAATTGCGTATTAGGGTGCTAAATACCAAAAAATACAGTTCAAGTTCGAATTTGGTCATGATTTTTGACAGAGTTATCCCTCTTGAACTTAGAAAAAAAGAAATTTTCAGTTTCTGCTCTCTAACTTTTGTAGGGATGCAGTGTTTTCCATTTATTTCAAAGTAAAGGGCAATTGTAACAGGCTAGGGGATGAGGTTTATGAATAAAATCTCTGTGTTATGTTTTAACTTTTGATTTCTAAGCGGCATTTAAATATCAATTGAAGTGGTCAATTTGGCCGGTAGCCAGTTCTTATGGAAAACACTGGGGATGTATGTATAAGCTTAAAATTGCTTATTCAGGTATTTTACCAGAAAATACAGGTCAAGTTCGAATTTGCTTATGGTCAGATGATTTTTGGCAGAGTAATCCCTCTTGAACTTAGAAAAAAATATGAAATTTTTCACCCCTACATTTGGGCTAGTAACTTTTTACTTGAGGCTAGTAACTTTATTACTGCCACTAGCCGTGGGCTTGTACTTGATTTTATCTCTACGGGTCAGAGACCAGAAGAGCTTATGCAATAGTATGGTGTCTGTCGTCTGTCCGTCCATCAGTCTGTCTAGCTGTCCGTCCGTCTGTAAACAATTTTTCAAAATGCTACTCCTCCTACAGTTTTGATCTGATTTTAATATAACTTGGCACACAATTAGACTGCACTAAGATACATAATTCTGTGTATCGGTTTTGATTTCGATGAACGGTGTTGCCATGGATACAAAAAATAGAAATTTCTGTGAAATACATTCAAAATGCTACTCCTCATACAATTTTGGTCTGATTTCAATTTAGCTTGGCACACAAGTAGACCACACTGACTTTAAGAAACATAATTCTGTGTTTCGATTTTTGATGAGCGGTGTTGCCATGGATACTAAAATAGAAATTTCTGTGAAATACATGTACTTTCAAAACGCTACTCCTCCTAAAGTTTTGGTCTGATTTCAGTATAATTTGGCACACAAGTAGACTTTACTAAGATACATAATTCTATATATCAATTTTTGATTTCCATGAATGGTCTTGCTATGGTTACTAAAAATAGAAATTTCTGTAAAATACTTCCAAAACGCTACTCCTATTATAGTTTTGATCTCATTTCAATATAACTTGGAACACAAGTAGTATACACTAAGATACATAATCCTATTTATTGTTGCAAAGTTTCAAATCCAAGTGCTACTTTTCTTTTCCTATAAGTACAAACCAGTAGAGCTACAGTCTCACCAGAGACTTCTGGTTTTAATTGCACACCCCTGATTGCATAATGCTTTTTCTTTATACGACTTTGAGACTAATGAAAGCAAAATTAGCATGGCCTCGTGGCCCATTAAATTTACAACTTGAGCACAACCAAGTAAAAAAACATGTAACAAATGAAGACAAGCTAGATATGAAAAATCTTCACAGAAAGAATTCAAACGCAGTTGGGTCAAGCGGTAAATAGAGTCCATTCATTGATTGTGTTGTTATCCTTATTATCAATGCACAGAATTTTTTCCAAAATTTTCAAACACATTTTCTAGGTTGATATTAATTTCCCGATGCATAAATGTTTCAAATAAATTACATATACTATGCTGAATTAGCATTGTCACCTGCCCAAAAGCGGTAATTCTAGTACTGTGTTATAATTGCAAAAACCGAAAATGAGGATGACTTAGAAATGGGGACTGAGTAAAAGTTCTTGCCAGTCTGAATGACTGGCTATCTGAAAAAGTTTGCCACGTCTCTGATTACTGCAGATGCCGGATTAAATCTTTATTTTCTGGACGAGTGACCAGGTTAAAGTTTTTAAAGTAAGTTCAATCCAAAGTGACTATAAGCCCAATGCTATCCAGAATATAGATACCGTAAGTTTTGGGGTGTATGTCGATGGGGTGTATAGTTCCAAAGGCTCATTTTCAGCCGTAATTTTTAAAAAATCCTTAGATAGGAGGAATTCGGAAGATAGGACGAGGCTTTGTTTATCGATTTCTAGAGATTCTACGTATCAGAACATGTAGACCTCTTTAACTTTACCCTTGATATTAACGTATTGAGAAAATAAACTAGTATTTCTATGAGTACAGTATTTTAATAGTGTTTTATACAAACGTAGTTAAAACTTCCTTGAATTGTATTTTCTCCAACTTGCCTGTTCAATGCCGTCGTAGTTTGACTCTGTCGTTAAACACATAAATACGGTAGTATAAAACAGCTATAATTAGGGAAATGCCTGAAATCAAACAGTACATGTAATCATTTCCATTTTAAAACATCATGGACACATTCTTTTATTCCGACATTATTTACCAGGGTAAAAAATTAACTTGGATGACCGCCATTTTTATATTTTCTTGTCCAGGGATTTGCTAAAACACGCAAATGACTATTACATGTAACAGTGCGCAAATGAAATTAATCATATTAGCATGCTATAATTTTGCATGAGATATTGTTGTAAAAAATAAATTAAATTGAGAGTACATTCGCAATTTAACAGTCATCAGGAATTTCACAGTTTTGTTTGTTCAATGATGTATAGCACTAATACCCCTGTAACGGCACGTGGATCTGTAAGTCATACCCCGCAGGTGTTTTAACCAACACAGGTGTTAACACCTTTGTGTACACAGTGTATATCCCTTTATCTGTCAGACAATTAAAATTCTATTAGAAGCCAATCTTTGTGTAATTCAGTGTGCCCCTTGGGTACGAGGAGGCTTTCAATTCTATCATTCAAAAAATATTTATTTGGTAAAACAAAAAAAAAAAAAAAACAAACTGTGAATAGAAAATAACGTATCGTAAATAAATGAATTTATAACTTCCAAAAACGTATAATAGTATATTCAAGATAAGTTCGTTTTATTATAATTAATTAAGATATAAAACAAAATAGTTATTACTAGCGGTATGTTTGGTAAATAAATTTAGAAATTTACTGGCAAAAATTTACTTCACGCATTTTACATTTAAATAAATATCGCAAGACAATGAACAAATATTTAGGCATACTATTTAAATTTATCGTTACAAATAAATGGTAAAAAAGATTACAATTGCGATTGTGAAAACTCTTCTGTATTTTAAATTTTGATATGGCTGCAGTTTTCTTTTTAGTAAACGATTGCAACTTCCAACTTCACAAGATGGACACAGCATGTTGTAAATATACTTTGAGACTTTAATTACTAGATGATATACCGGTAATAAGTTTTTTCTGTACAGCGCTGGAACTTATTTTGTAAGAAATCAATGGAATGAATATTTAATTCTTTGTTGTTTATTATACGAAAATGGCACAGATTTGCTTGAAAATTGACGTAAATTTTACTGAATTGGAGGCATTTTTCGTAAACTTGAGCCTTAGATAGGTCGATTCGTTAAATAGGACGACCCCAGCGGTTCTGAGAAAAAAAGTATCGTCTTATCTTCCAAAACTCACGGTAATATCGATTCTGAGTGAGGATGATATGTATATCAATACGTATGAAGAAATATCGAAATATCACAACTCTGGATAGAGAATGCAGAAGCTGAATTGGGAATTTTTAGTCTTAAAATTTGGAAAAAACATTTTTTGGCATTGGGAATGGTACCGTTTATCAGTACCAGTTATATAAGGCAAAAGATCGCCGATCAGTTTAGTGTGAAACTTTGCCTTACTTAAAGATAACAATTGTTTAGGTGAGCTCTGTAATCTCTGATTACCTATGTATTTAATATTAGTTCTCTTAGATATTAAAAGCGCCTGAGGAAGTTACAAGTGTTATTTTACCAGCTTCTAAAACGTAGGAGGTTTTTATATATTTCAAAAGATATCGAGAAATACCTGTATCTGATTTTCATATTGCGATATATTATTGTGGTTGGTCATACTGCATTATACAGGTATACCAGTTATATTGAACACCCCTACTCAAGATATGTCACAGATCACAAAAAATAATTGTGTCTTTCTATGTTGCAGACAATAAATGTGGCTGTCAGCGATAATTCTGCCTGTTTGTCAACTGATTCAGCAACACTAGTGGCAAAAGATGGCAGAGCAGTATTTGTTGGCTCACTTTGTGCTCCAATATCTAGTGTGTCTCTGTCTTTTTCAACAACAAGTGCAATATCAGCTAGCTTAGTGACAAGCGGTTCAACAGCAACATTTGAAGTCACAGGTAACCTTAAATGGAATGAAATTAGATTAAGGTATTAGGGGTGTAATAGTCATGACCTTGAATATGACTAAATTCAGTTAAATTATAATGGACAACACTTCAGGCAATATTTCCCAAAGTTTCATGCAATTCTGTCCAAACATATTTTTTTATACTTATTTTCATACCTGTACCCTCTAACCACTGGTGCACCTTTAATAGACAAAAGGTACAGATGTAATTTTTACCTCTACTCTATAGTTAGTTGCAAACAGTTGAATGTTTCATGTGTTCAACTGCAACATTAAGCAGCATAGATTGCATCTATGCATTCTTTTTAGTTCAAATTCATCAGGTATGATATACAGTGGACCCTCAGATATCCGGATGCCAGATATCCGGACGCTTCACCTTCCGGACGAATTTTCTTGGGAACAGATTATTTTTACGTTATTTTGGCTCATTTATCCAGAATTCTGCGTTCCGTATCCGGACGGTCTTTTTTTACTACAAAATGCATTTTTACGTTATATTTTGGTTCATTTATCCGGACGGTAAATTTTAATTTGTACGCCCATTGTTGTCAACATTCCTGGCTGAGCTGAGTGTTAATTGTTATAAAAACACTAGCTGGTCTGGTTGTTTTTATAAGACGATCACCTGTGACCTGTTATGATTTTAGACTAAGTCGATATCGAAACGTCACTATAGACATGAGAGACACACAATACACGAGAGATACACAAGTGAAATTAAATTACATGTACATGTACTGTGTTGGTAACAGAAAATAATTTTCTCTTCAGTTATTAGTTATCGGAAAGATATTTACAATCTGAGTACAGAACCTAATATTTCTATTTATAGACATGACAACGGAGTTTCATAATGTCGTTCTCTACACACACAATACACATCGGTATTTTAATCTTAAGCTTGAATCTTTTAATTTGGTGACAGTTATTACAAAAAAAAATCACATTAAATCAAATTTGAATCCAGTTCACACAATCACTTAAATTATGTGATTTCGCTTGGGATGTAGTTAATGTCTGATTTAGCGTGGATGAGTGTTCAATTAAAATCGACTCTATGCTGACAGCTCGCTTGGGTAGAATCAAAGTGTAAGATAGAATTGGCTTGGCTAAGTTTCAATTATTAGGAAATAGCAGGTAAAAATTAGCTTGGGCAATTATAAATATGGCCATATAAGCAGCGTTATTTCCAATGTTGGTCATCACTTGCTCTCCAGCTACAATCATGTCTACACCGCCGGCCAAGAGAGCGCGAGTCAGCATTTCTGCAAGCTTGAAAAAAAAAATATGCCAACGCAAAGTAGATCATCCACAATCTACTCTACTAGATTTAAGGCAGTTCATCATTGACGAGGAGTCCATAAACATAGGTATTTTTAAAATCTAAATTTTCTTTACGTAGTCAATTTTTGTCTTTTTTTTTCTTTTTTCAATTTTTAATTAATTTTTAACTTAATTGATTGCAGTTTTGCTGAAGCCCTAAGTTGAGTTTAATAAGAAGGTATGGAAAAACATCAATTAATCTTCACATCTAAAAATTACATATTTTGTTGATTTATGATATGTTATGATTGATTATAATTTTTTTTCCAGGAAAGTCCAGCATTGGTGATATCATTAAAGATAAAGACAAGTGGCTAGCTGTTCCAGCTGACTGTGAAGGCCTAACAAAGTCCAGGAATCCAAAGCATCAGCAACTAGATGACGCCCTCTATCTGTGGTTTACAGACATGTCAGCACATCATGCAGCAATCAACGATGAGATGCTTATTACAAAAGCCAGACAACTGGGTGAACAGCTTGGAGTAACAGATTTCAGCTATTCAAGAGGCTACCTTCACAGATTCAAGAGTCGACGTGGTATAAAGAAAAAACTCTACGAAGGTGAAGCTGACAGTGCAGATATGACGGCTGTGCAGACAGGACGACAAGATCTTCAGCGTGTTCTTCAAGACTACGACCTGGAGGACATATTCAATCTGGACGAAACTGGACTGTTTTACAGACTTGGACCCAACTACACCTTAGCAACAAAGAAAGTGAGTGGTACCAAGAAATCCAAGGACAGAATTACAGTTGCCCTTGCCACCAATGCAACAGGAACAACAAAGATCAAGCCTTTTGTCATCACTAAAGTGAATCGTCCACGGTGTTTTGGGAAGACATACAATCCAGAGACTTACGTGAGATACAGATACAACGCAAAGGCTTGGATGACGTCAGACCTATTCAAGGAGTGGCTGAAAGACTTCGACCGTCGGATGAGACTTGCAAGAAGAAATGTGATTTTGCTTGTGGACAACGCTGCCAGTCATAGTCAAGGGGATATTCTGCTGAGGAATGTGACACTTCATTTCCTGCCTCCGAACACCACTGCCCACATACAGCCTATGGACGCTGGAATAATCAAAGCCTTCAAAGCTCACTACAGGAAACAGCTGGTACAGCACTACATTGAGCGTGTGGAGAAGAAAGAAGAACAAAGTGTGAATCTACGAGAGGCCCTGCACATGGTGAAAAGAGCATGGGATAGTGTAAAAGTTTCTACCATTGTGAATTGTTACCGACATGTAAAGATCTTGCCTTCCAAGGATGATTCAGATGAAGATGACGATGTTCCACTTTCTCGCCTTCAGTGCCACACAGATGAAGATGAGGATGACATTCCGTTGCTTCAGCTTCAGAAGAAGATGCGTGAACTGCCAGAGGCCTGCACGATGACAGTAGAGGAGTATGTTAGTGTGGATGCAGAGGAAGAAACTGGACAACATCTAACTGATGATGACATTATGACACTTGTTTCACGAGAAGAAGTTCCTGAGGCTGCAGAAAAGGATGATGATGATGAAGAAGAAGCATGCAAAGATGTGAACCCTTCTCAAGCTTCAGGAGGCATCAGGATGGCCATCAGTTTTTTTGAACAGACATCAAGAAGCTCCACATCAATTGACATGGAGAAAAAGCAAGCCTACCTTGACCAACTATGGGAAATGTTAGACGCCATTACCTACTGCCAAGCCAAGGAAGCACAACAGAAGAAGATGACCGACTTCTTCAAGCAGTAAAAAGTGAAAAAATGTGTTCATAGTGCTTTTGAAATTTCAGTTGCTTATTACAATATTAATGTGGAGCAGTGCATATAGTACTACAGTTATAGATTTACAGATTTTTTATTAGTTGTATTGTGTAGTTTTGTTATTTAATAGTGCTAAGTTTTTAGTTTTAGAAATGTTTATTTTATTTGAAAATGTGTTATAAAGTAGTGCTGATGTATATTTTAGATGTAGTTTATAAAATAATAAAACATTATTTCTATTTGGCAGCATTTTTCTTTACTTATATTGATATGAAAGGCTATTACATGTATACTATTTCACTATAATTATACTGGTAGAAGAATACATTTCAGATATACGGACGCTTCACTTATCCGGACATTTTGACTGGGAACCTAAGCGTCCGGATAAATGAGGCTCCACTGTATGAATACTTGTAATCAAGAGAACTTGTCTACTTTGTGTGACAATTTTGGCAATTTTTTTCATAAAACTGGTTGTGATATTCTGTCAAAGAAAAATATGGTAGGAAAGGTCAATAAAAGAACAATGTCAATTTTGTGTAATGTGTGTTTGGGATAATATTACAACAAAAAAATGTATTCTATCCACAATATTTATCTATATTCTGTATCATAGCGATATACCTCTAAAAATGTAAGCCATGATTTTTTGTAAGTGTCATAAAATATGTGATAATTAATGAAATAATGAGCATATATAAACAACAGGTAATTGTCATATTGAATACACATATCACTTTAGTCAGATTCATTTGTTCAGAAAATTGACCTCTAGTCACAGTGACCTTGACCCAGACAAAGATTTGCAAAATGACCTACATTTGTGCATCTACCATGTGCATGAAGTTCTTTACAGATCGAAAAGTTACTATATAATGTAGGCTAAAATATATACTGACAGAAACACTAATCAAAAGGTAAAAAAAATCATTTTGCTCCCAACATGTATATGAAAAATATCAATAAATATTCAAAATGCCCCCCCCCCCCCCCTTCTAATCTTATGTAAAAATAAATATTAAATAACATAAAAGTCACCCTGACCCAACCCAGAATAAATCATTTATTTCCATAACTGATATTTTTTTTTTCTTTAAAGTTGTAAACATACCTACATTTTATTTTCACTGATATCTTTTGAACATCACAGATATTTTATGTATGGACATTGAACGTCACTTATAAAATGTAGATTCTACAATGTCCACAGTGCTACCTATTACGTACATTTTTTCCCCACAAATGGTTTGCTGATATTGAGAGAATCATAAGAAATCGCGATGTGAATGTTAAGTTTTGAAGAAAGGTATACTTCGTTCGTTCTTCAAAAATGGTGCTATTTTTAGAAGTTAGAAAAACCCATAAAGTGTGTATTTGAAGGTATCATCGTTTTGACTGAATATTTTGTCTAACTAAATATATTAACGTGTTTTCTACGTAATATTATATTTATTCTCTCCTCCGCTAAGTTATATTCCTTTTCTTTGGTGTATGTTTTATGTTAGCGTCCTAGGCCGTCTTGATGATGCGCCATTTTTGTTTATGAAGGTAGATAATTTGTACAGTGTTCCGAAATCTGCCGATGTCAGAGACCTCGGTAAATGCCGTCATTTTTACCGGAAATGGCATATTACACCTCTAATACCTTAAAAAGAAGGGGGGGGGGCAAACTAGTTCTCTCCTCCGCTAAGTTATATTCCTTTTCTTTGGTGTATGTTTTATGTTAGCATCCGAGGCAGTCTTGACGATGCGCCATTTTTGTTTATGAAGGTAGATAATTTGTACAGTGTTCCGAAATCTGCCGATGTCAGAGACCTCGGTAAATGCCGTCATTTTTACCGGAAATGGCATATTACACCTCTAATACCTTAAAAAGAAGGGGGGGGGCAAACTAGTTATGTAACAGTAGTCACTAACAATCAATTATAGGTGGTTTGGAGCTCATCCATGATACATTTACATGATACTAATTGATTGCTAAACTAAAGTTGCCAACATTACTAACAAAAATAATTATTGTTTAAGTTATTAGTATGATGGAGAGACAAGGCAGAACAGAATAGATGGTTACAGAATGTCATAGGTCATTGCATCCCAACCAATAACACTCCTAAAGGAGGGAGCTCTATTTTCTGAATTTGTTGTTAGTCTAAAGATGATCAGGCTTTACATTGATTAATAAGTACAGTGATTTTCTCTTTTAGATGATGTATATTTGGGCAATTACATAGATTACTATTCTTCTGGATCCACCTCAGATACTGGACCAAACACAGATTCTTTTGTCTGGCATGCACTGGAAGATATCAAAGCCAACAAATATCCTAATCTTTTACCAGGTAACTGTCTTCTTTTTTATATTTTGTAAAGTGATTAAGGTATCAATTAGGGCTTTTTTAGATGGGATGGAACAGCTAGTGTTTTTTCCTGTTGCTGGGGGTGGGGGTATATTTTTTAGGTCACCAAAAAATGGATGAGTCACTCAGGTGACGCTTTAGTTTCCGTTTTTGTCTATTGTCCTATGTCGTGTGTCCCTCCAACTTAGTCAAAATACATGAATTATGTGGTCCTGAGTTATGCAGTTGAAGCATTGATTGGCAAATCAAGAACCGAATTGTTTGACAGAGTGATGATGTTGGTTGGTATCAATGAAACTGTTTGTTTGTCTAGGGTATGTTAAATTTAATCTAGTTGAAAATCCAGATGCAGTGATGTCTGGTAAATAACAGAATGAAGTCAAGAACATACACAAAGTGCTCTTGATGTCCTCATGAAGGCCCAAAGAAAAGCAGTATTACTCGAACCCTATTCAGAAGATAATAAAATCACAAAATCACAAATAACAAGAGAGTGTTCATAATGGATGATCAAAATTTTACACAGAAATTCATAGGAAAAACCTTCCCCATAGGCAATGGGCCAGGAAAGATGAAACTTAAGTGGAAACATCCTCAGGTTGTGTAGATTCAAGCTTTTTCAAATCATGACCCCTTGAGGTAGGGTCGGGCCATAATGAACCATCAAAGTTTTCCATAGGAATACATAGGAAAAATCTTTTAAAATCTTCCTCTCAAGAACAGCAGAGCCATGATTGGTCATATTTATATGGACGCATCCTCAAGTAGTGTAAATTCAAGTTTGTTCATATTATGACTACTGGGGGTAGGGTGGGGCCACAATAGAAGATGAAAATTATAGGAAATTTAAAAAAAAAAATCTAACGCCATGATTTGTCAAAGAAATATGGTAGTATCCTCATTTATTGTAGACTCAAGTTTGTTCAGATCATGCCCTCCTCCCCTTAGGGATAGGTTGATACCACTCATGAAATACTGAACTCCTAGCCAAAGTGTTTAAGTGAGCAATGTGGCCAATGGGCCTCTTGTTTAAAGATGGCCTTACTTGAAAGTTTGCTTAGTTTAAATTTATGCACAGTGTTTATGAAGAATATCTGATTATTTATACAGGAAGGAATCTTCATATCAATTCATACAACACAAAAAATGATGCTGTCACCACAGCCAAAGAATTGGATGGAATGCTTGCCGAAGGAGAGGTCTGTATGTCATGTAGAAGTTACTAGTTCTCCCATTACCTGGGATAAGTAAGTAACAAAGAATATTTTACAGTTTACGGAATAGTATAGAATCAGGGCTAGAAATAATTTTTTTTGTTTACTAGTCACTTGGGCCATCACCTTATATTTTTACTGGTCATCTTAGTGCTTTTGGTGTCCAACTGGGCCAGTAGATTTTTAAAAAGACTGGCCCAAAACCATAGCAATACAGTGGTTCCCGTTTTATCGAATAGTCAAGTTGTCAGCCTAGTTTTATCCGAATAGCCGAAAATTAGAATAGCCGATTGCTCCATACCGAGTCCAAAGATAGATGTATAGAGCTACATGTATTGATAATACATCGTAGCAAATTTCAAGCTTGCACTTTCGTTTTCTTTTGACATGTTTACTTAATGACTTTGCTAAAAATAATTTATTTCACTTACTTATGAATTTAATATGAATTTTTTTTTCAAATAAATTGACGTATAGAATATATTCTTTGATAGTTATTGTCATCTTTCTTCAGCACATGTTTACATTCCTTCTTCGATGGTCGCCATTTTGGAAACGGAAGTAGACTAAATGCTTGACTAATAACCGTAAACTATTTTTCCCTAGATAGATTGTAAATTAAAAATAAACAAAAATATTAAATATATGTAATTGTTTCGTTTTTATTTGTTTCTTTAATACGGTTACGTATTTTATACTGTGTGTGAGTTTACCAGTCTTTTTCTTGTCTGCTGAAGAGAGATTTTGAGAGGCATGTGGAGAAAGATGGTATGAATTTTGAGAGGTATTTTTATAGAACGGGCCATTTGTGATTTTTACCATAAATTTTGCACTGAAAAGTGAATAAATATTAAGCCAATTGACCAAGTTACACGATTGAATAGGCTTATTTCATTGTCCAAGCAAATTGTCATACACAAGCTAATCAGTTCAATAATTAAAATTTCACGCAGAAAAAATTGCAAATAATTGTCATAATTAACAAGTGCATCATTGAACCCAAGCTGATCACCACAACTGTAATCAAAACATATCTATTTACTATGCCCACTATTGACACAGGTAAGGTGCCTGTGTGCGTCCAGCCGTAACTAATCCCCTCATTGTCGTACTCAAGCCAGTCAAGGTAATTGGTGTCAAACTGTGTAAACAAAGGCTTCACATACGAAGTTGGAGGTGTGAACAAGGTGCTGATTATCAATAAACACTATGATAATCCAAATTTTTGTATCGGATAAAACGAAATTCCAATATTTTCTCATCAGAATATCAGGTGAAATTATTAATAAATATATAAGAAATGGTTTTGTGCTCTGATATTATATTGAAATAGCCGAAATATTCGTTAAACCGCTATCCGATAAAATGGAAGCCACTGTAATAGTAATATTTTTTTATATTGTGATACTTAGAAGTACAACTTAACAAAACAAAAAACAGCAGAAGTTGGGACACACAACCCCGTCAAGTTAACTAGCCCGACTGTGAATGAATTTTATTATGCATAAAAAAATGCTGACCCAAAGGGCACATGGCCTCTGTAATGGACTAGCCCAGATTGTCCATTTTAGTCTCAAAATTGGGAAAAATTAACGTTTTTTGGTATTGGGAATGGTACCCTTTATCAGTACCAGTTATATAAGGAAAAAAAAAACCTGGATTCCATGTTTAGAATTAGGTATGATTTGGGTGTTCTTTAACTCTACTGCACAGAGACGAGAAGAGATTATGCGGTAGTAAATTGTCTGTCATCCATCTGTCCATCTTTCTGTACACAATTATTCAAAATGCTACTCCTTTGACAGTCTTGGTCAGATTTCAATATAACTTGGCACACAAGTACAGTCTACGTGAAAGTCTAAAATGTTTACAGGACATAAGGTCTGGTAAAAATATATTTTTACCAGACCAACAGGGGCTGACAAATAGATTTTTCAAGCACTTGCCCAGGGGCAAGTGCATGGTCAAAATTCACTTGCCCTACAGGGTTCGACACTAACTTTTTTACCTTGGTGGACCGCAGGTCCACGAGTCATAAATTATTGATGGACCTTCTCAAATTCTGGTGGACCTTCATAAATGTTTGAATTAATGAATGAATTCATTACACAAGGCTTGAAACTAACTTATGTACCCAGTCTAGTCAGACTAATAAAATATAAGTTAACCAGTCAACGGAATCAAATCAATTAGTCAGGAGTTTTCAGCAATATTGTTAAACATATTTTCAATAATTAAATAAAAGAACACAATCTATATCTTCAAACAATGGTAAAAACCTGCATTTATTTCGCTTCCAATGGTAGATAAAAGTTAAATCCCAATTGTTCATATAAACAAGTGAATTTTTCATGTATCTATGGCTAAATTTTTTTTTTACTACGATGCAAAACTGACAAAAGAATATGTATTAATTTATTATTTATATTTATTTATTTATTATTATTTTTAATTATTGTTCATTCAAATAAACTGCGATCATATGATTCTTTTATGTGATATAATGTGTAAGGCGTAATAAAAAAATATGTTTGTTTACGGTTACCCGACTGACCCTATATTTAATCGCCGACCCAAATTTTTTTTTCATCGTAAAATCCGGAAGTCACTCGCCGATCAGTTTAACTTTTACATGCATCATAGGTCGTGCGTTTGAAATCGAAAGTACAAAATGGCGTGCTCAATATCGACATCCACATGTTCGTTGGAGTTTGAGGAATGTCCTCACATGAAAGGGATGAAACTTATATTGGCATTGCCAAACAACATGACATTTACTCAAGTTTTTGAACGATATCATGCCACACATATAAAGGTTCCTGAATTTCGAGTCAGAGGCAAACAGAGTGGGAGCAAAGACGGTAACTGTTTTGACATTACCCCAGGTTTGACCATCGGTGAAATTATATCCGCGTTTGACATTCGATGCTTTGAATTCAAATGCTTACCATCTGAACACGACGAAATTCGACAAATGATTACTGAAGCAGCTTCAACCGCAACCAAAAGTGCAAGCAATGCCTTTCAAATTCTCATGGCTGGGGACAAGGGTTATCCCAACAAAAAGACAACAAGGTAAGGCATGTTTGTATCATATGCACAATGCTCTAGGGCATTTGTAGTAGGTTTCAGCTAGGATTTATAAAAATATATTTTATAATTTTTCTGTTTTGCATTATTGCCAAATTCAATAAATATAAACCTGATGAGGATATTGGTTTGGCGTATATCAATCCTGAAACATTTTTTGTTCTCTTTTCTCGCAGTAGTGGGATGAAGGCTGGTGTGAACAAAAAGGATGAGATGTTTAACATGTTGGTTGATGATTTCGTCCAAAGAAAACTAAGCTTTGCGAAAAGTACAGCTAATTCTGAGGGTTCTTACTTCATACAGGTAAATATCTAGTCATTATTTAGAATCTTATTATTGTCTATAAAAGACTGACTGTATATTTTTTCTTACATCCAATATAAAAGTTTAATTTCTGATTTGAATTTTGACAGGATACTTTGTCAGGAAGGTATTGTATTTCCATAAAGAAACTCATTCATGAATACTAATTTATAAACATATCAGTCTATGCGAAAGTCACCGGACCGTCGGTTTTTACCGGTAAAATTTGGTTCGGGTCGGTAAAAAAATTCAGGATACAGGACCAATTGTCCGATGAAAAATTAAGGCCTAAAAATCTGAATTTACATGTACATATGGTCTTATTGTCCACACATATCCTTTATTTGATCCATTTAGCAGTAATACATGTTTGATTTAAATCTAGAAGAATCCTGTCATGATCGTTTATTTCTAACTCGAATTTCCTCTGTCATGGAATATAGATGCATAGATAGCTCATACGTAGATTCAGTTGAGCAAAATTATTTTCATTATTAAACAAGAGTAACCGCAATGAGTTACTTCAGGAAAGAAAGAAATATATTTTAAAGTGCATTTTAAGTTTTAAAAAATCTTTGACAATGTGTATTTCGTTTGTATGTGTCAAATAACCAGAAAAAGGGAAAATTGTTTTGAATTGTATATTACCTCTTATAAAGGAAAATTATTAATAGTAAGCTTGTACATTTCACTAAAATAATTTTTTTATAATCTCAAATCTGGATTTATTTGAGGTTCAATTTAACAGTGAGACCCCCCCCCCCCTCCTTTTAACATCTCTATCAGAATGATGTATGATTGAATTTAAAGAAAAAAGGTCGGTCTGGTAAGTAAATGCTTAGTCTGGTAAAATATATATTTTTACCAGACATTATGTCCTGTAAAAATTTTAGACTTTCGCATAGACTGACATATATTTAGTGTCTATCAGTGTAACACTGTAATACATTTAGCTTAGAAAGGCATGTGGTGTTGTCACAGCTTAATCTGCTTTGCTTTGATGTATTTTATATAGATAGCTTTGAAATTCTGTAAAGCAATTATTAATCATATTCTATATTTATATGCATCATATTAAAATATATTTGATGGGTCTATTTCACTTGCAAACTTATCATTCATCTTTTAAAAATAACTGCAATGTAAAGCATTAACTGCAGTCTTTGTTTTATTACTCTAATGTTTTCTCTCAATCAGCTTTTTCATTGCCAGAATTATTATTTAATGAGCATTTACTTTAAAATATGGAGCATGCAATTTCATCATAACAAAATCTTTGTACCCTGTGTGTTGTAGGTGCTGTGCAACGCCCTTTGGTACTTAACAAACCAACACTCAGTTATTGATGAAGCATCTCGACGTAAGAAAAATGTGCAGCCAGTTCCAGTTGTGTTTTCCAAATACAAAGGATTTAATGACTTAAAACGAAAAAAACTTAAAAGTCAGCCACTCAAGTTCTCAGATTTAAAAATGCATGCAGAAGCAATTTATAGTTTAATGTTAAAACCTGTTGTCAACTCTAGCCCTGAATGGAAGACTGAAAGTGATAATTTCAAACAGCTTGCAAACTGTATGCTATGTTATAGACAGTATTCAGAAGAACAGCAGAGAGCAACAACATCATATCATGCTTTGACACATCCTGTACGCACCATATGAGAACATGCAACAGTTGAACATAGAAGCAGTGGTGTTACAATAAAATTAAAGTATTCATTGCTGGATGCTGCTATGAGAGAAGCTCAGCCAGAATCTCCAGTATTTTTTGATGAGTCTGTGCATGTTGAAGAACCGTTTGGCAATTTCATTCAAAAGTACAGATTTTTTAATGAGCTTCAACTCACTGTTCCTGTTGACGTAATCAGATACTGCCCTGGAGGACCACAAGTAACAACAGTGTGTATCTTCAAAGTTATGGAGGGTCGTCCTGAATCTGTAATTCTTACCCAAGGAGCTAGATTCCTCCAAAAGATCTCTTCCCAACTTAAAGAAGTACACACTAGAGCTCAGAGAGCAGAATTTGATTCAATGGTCAACAACATAGCACATATCTCACCAGCAGTCAAAGCATTTATCTACAGAACATTGACTAACGATGCATCTGCACCTGTCAATCCAGTTATGGAAGAAAGACTTAGACTAATTTCCCTGGGAAATACTGATATTATTGATGACTTGCGACACTTGAATACAGGAAGACCACATGCTTTTGATAACTTTTTCAGAAGCTTCAAGAAGTTGTAGAGGAAGTCACAGCTGCTGATGATCGCAGACACAATGCATGTCATATATCTCAGTGGATCTCCTTAAAAGAAATGATAGCTCAAGCTGCAGAAAAATGTCAAAACGATGACCTTATTCCAAGTGCCAGTCTTGTTTGATTGCAGTTTGCTCCACTCAACCCTTATACCCACAGAGCACTAAATTTCACATCCAAAATTGATGTACAGTACAAAATTCAGAGCCGACAATTGTGAGTTAGCCACCCAGATGCCCATTATTGTGCTGCACAGCTGAAATATTTGAAAGAAATGTCTGTTGAATTACGAGACTCTGCATTACTGTTTTTTTGTGACAACAAAGCTAAAGTTTCTATTGGGGAACCTAAAGCTCCAGTATCTACTGGAGTCAGAGAAAAAAGCGACAATTGTTCCTGCATATTCAACATTGTGTGCCTTAGATCATGATATGACAAAAGCTTCTTTGACACCTTCTGTTTATCTTAAATGTGATATTCCTGAATCACCTGCACAGTCTTTTGTCCAAGGAGAAGTTACAAATGTTGTGAATGACTCTGTATTTGAAACATCTGGTCCATTTCGCCATGCAGCATCCCTAGTCAAAATAGCTGCGAAAGAGAACAGGAAAATTTTGCTCAGATTTACTGATGGTGGTACTGATCAGCATAATAATCTGGAATCTGTTAAGTGTTCTAGCATTTGCATATTTCGAGAACTGGATCTGGATATGCTTGTCCATGCACGTTGTGCTCCAGGCCAAAAGCTGGACCAACCCGGCAGAACGAATTATGTCGGTCTCGAATTTAGGGCTACAAAACTGCGCACTGGAGAGACAGTGCTGTGATGAACAGACAGAAAAACAGTTTCGAAAGTGTAATTCAATGGCTGATATCAGATCAACAGCTGAAAATGATCCTTGTTTAAAGCTTAAGTGGAAAGAGTCTGTGGAATGCACTCAGTCTATTGTTAGAAATAGATTTCTCAGACTCTCCCTTAAAGACAAACCAATGCAAGCAATGGATCCTGTGAGTGAAGAAGAGATTGATCTTCTCAAAAGGCACCTGAGAGAGCTCTTCCCAGGTATGGATATCGAAAAGCTGCAGAAAGTCCATACGTCCAAAGTAGTAGAATACAATGAATGGTTACATAGACACACAAGACAACGTCATTATTGTTTTCAGATCCGTAAAATGTGATGACCGCAGTTGCTGTTCAGCACCACAAAACAAAAATCTTGCTTGGCTACCAGATCCAGTGCTGGATGAATCAGGTGACCATTACCTTCCCTACAGCTCACTGAAATCCACCGACACTACAGAGGATGACAGACCTTCCCTCAGAAAACTGCCTGAAACTCAGAAGACTAAGAGAAAGTCCTCAGATGCTCCAACTACAGCTACAGCTGATGCAGGAATGAAAAATCAAAATGAGACTCCTGGCTCTTCTGAAATTTCTAGATGTACTAATTCTGTCATAACAGCCCAGAATGCACGTGCACTGGTGAACTGTGTTGAATGTAGAAAACCACGTATTTTATATTCAAAACAGAAACTTTCCCAGAGACAACAAGTTACCCTTGCTCTTAGTCTAAGTGAATATGACTACACTTGTGGGGGCCCCGTTTTGCCCCCAAATCATAGTTTGGCCAAATGTGTTCAGATAAGATCTGAAATCAGTTGTATTTCTCCCATTGAAGTGCCATACTACTCAAGTGGTATTGGCAGAGGAGATTTGTGTGCCTATTGTGCTACTGAAGATAGTCAGTGCAACATAGAATTGAAGAATTCTTCGAAATACAAAATGGTTTTACCATTGTGTGGTATCTGTAAGGCAGCTGGCAAAAAAGATATCGTTTATCGTCCTTTGGTAACCCCAAACATAAGTAAAGCACCACACAATGGTAAAACCGTTTTGTATTTCAAACATTTCATGTGAATTTGTCTGTAAAAAAATTTAATAAAATTAAAAAAAAAAACCTACCTACCGACCCTATTTTTTTTCAGCTGGTAACAGTAAACAAACATATTTTTTTGTTTGGCCTAATGTATTCATAAAATATAAACACGCCTGTTTGAAGATCTAAAAAAATAAACAATGCATAAATGCAGCTGTCAGTCAATTCTAATTATCTCCAAGCTTGGCCATCAGTGTACGTTCAGGCGTGAAGTGATTTCCTGTTACCCAGTGTACATTTCACACCTTTCTGTGCATTAAAAAAACAAAGGACAGATTGACTAATCCGCACAAATTTTACATGCTTCTTTTTCAAGGTCATTGTTGAATGTTATTGTTATTGTAGTCATCAATATTATATGTAAAATATATAGTAAGTCGCTAGATTCCCCTGATTAAAACAAATATTACCATATTTATTTCTTGTAACAAGTATGGATGAATTAATTAATCGTTTGATATACAGATGTCGATTTGTAGGGAAAAAAACGGAATTTTACCGTGTTTTTTTAAATACAGTGTTTAATTTTTAAGTGGACCAATGGTCCACTTAGTCCAGAACATTTGGTGGACCTTCCAGTTTTTTGGTGGACGCGGGCCGCCGGTCCACCTTTAGTGTCAAACCCTGCCCTACTTCAGTTTTTACTTGCCCCTCATAAACTATTAAAGATAATAGTTTCAATTTCATCTAAAACAACAAAACAATTCTTTTTATTTTTCCATTGTTGTCTACCATCCGGCATTTCATGTTCATCATCATAATGAATAAATTTGTCACCAAATCAGAAAATTTTTGGTACTATGAATCCCCAAAATGCCCCGTAATCACCGTAATTTTGCAACTTTGAATGTGTTGTTCTGAATATTGGTAACAGTTGAAAACTACGGCCAAAAGTATGAAGTAAAATACCATTCGTAACACTATTGTAATTTAACCTTACACATGCTTTTTTGCCATTTGGTAGGAATAATTGTTTCCATTGTTTTTTCTTTCTCATACTTAGTATGCTAAGTCCATTTTGTGGTTTTTTCGCTAACATCGTTACTGACCATTGTTGACCATGTACTTATCATCAGCTTCTGACCATTTTTTGCCTCATAATTGTTAAAACTTTTTCCATTTCTCCAATGCCAATTTGTCCCTTTCAGTTAACTTCACTTAAACTTTCGGTAATTGAATAAAGATAAACTATGACACAATTAAACTGGTTCGTTTATGAAGTGTGACAAGCAAAGGAAGATAACTCTTATGACAAAATAGTTTTGATTTTGTGTAAAACAGTGACATTTTAAAAAAAATTATGGATTGATTTTTAAAGTTACTTGCCAATGGACAAGTGCCTATTGAAAATTCACTTGCCTGCCTCTAAAATTGACTGGCATCGGGCAATGGGATTTGTCAGCCCCTGGACCAAGCATTTACGTACCAGACTGACTTTTTCATTTAAGTTCATACATCATTATGATACTGAGATTGAAAAGGGGGGTTGGGGGGTGGAGTGAATTCTCATTGTGAAATTGAACCTTAAATAAATCCAGAGAGTTATGGTTATAAAAAATGGTTTGAATGAAGTGAACAAGCTTACTAATAATAATTTTCCTTTGTAAAAGGCACTATACAATTGCATGCAATATCTTTTTCTGGATATGACTCATACAAAATATACAGTGTCAAAGATTTTCTTTAACTTAAAATGTACTTTCAATATATTTTTTCCTGAAACAACTCATAATGGTTTCTCAAGTTTAATAATGAAAATAATTTCCCAACCAAATCTACGTATGAGCTATCTATAGATCCCTATTCCATGACAGAGGAAATTCGAATTAGGCTAAAAAAAAATTATTAACTTGGTTCTCAGGTCAGTTTTGTCAAAAATAAATGCATGAGGGAGGCTTTTTTTTTCATTGTTACCTCATAAAAAACAGACCAAGATTTTTTTTTAATTTTAATTTCAGAAAATTACAACTTTTAATCAATAGTGCTTCAACATTTCGTGTAGAAAACAAGATAATTTTTTCTTGTTTTTCTTTCTCTTTTCTCGTTGCATTTTCTACATTTGTGTAATGAAACGACGGCATCCTAACAACCAGACATGTCTTAAACTTACAGAACGTATTTAAGTGATGCATCTAGTCAATTGCTTATGTATCATAACTAATTTGAGAGTGTTTCAGCACTATAGATAGTGTTTATGATTGTATTAAACATCGTCTAGTTTACCAGTCTTTGGTTTACCCACAGTCACTAAATGCTTGCTGAAGTTTTTCTGAAAATGTCGAAGTTCCGAGGTTGAGGGAGCTGGGAGCCGTCTTTGATAGTGCAGTGACTTTTTTAGGGCCGATTTGGGGCCAAAAATTCGGCCCCAGTCCCAATTGAAAATATGCCTGTATTTTCCCAAAATGTAGTGCAAGTTTTCCCAAAGAAAAACTTAAAAAATATTTGATCAAATTCAGTTTGTTTATTGCATGTTTTTCAGTGAAGTTCAAGCAGGTTTTGTTGTTCAGCCATGTTGGATTTCTTCATAATTAGATAATTCATACCACTATTGTTTTTGATGCAAGTAATTAGATAATTCATACCAAGAATAGTCTTGATTTATTATAACAATTGTTTGTTAAAGTAATTCTGGGAGTTTCCCAATTTAGCCTAATTGACGCTGAAATTCCCAATTCTGAGGGCCCTAGCCCCCAGTCCCAAAGTACTGAAAAAAAACACTGTAGTGTTATAGAGTTCTAGCATGGAACATTCAACTTTCAGAAAAACCCCACTATGTGCCATGGACGTTCAGACATTCCCTTACGAATTTGCACTGAAATCAATCATGTCGAACATTATTAACGTCTTTAAAACTTGTTAACTCGACCGCCATATTTGCGATTTATAACTAGGTCAATAGTCTGCATCATCTTGATGTTTGTCAAATGTTTTACCGATGGCAGTATCTAAAATGCGATAAGGGATTCAGAAATTTTTTTGTGCACCATACAGCGCATGAGAGAAATTTTATTTTATTCATTTGATGATAAAAATGGGCAATGTGCAGTGTTAAATGAGATGCGGACGGGCCTGAGAACCAAGTTATTAAATTTTTCTGGCCTTAGAAAAAAACCCTGATCATGACAGGGTTGTTGTAGATAAAAAAAACAAAGGTAATCAAAGATTACGAAGCTCACCTCGACGAATGTTATCTATAAGTAAGGCAAATTTCACATAATATTTTTTTCCCTAAATAGGGTACATCCCAAGATCAATATACATGCAAGTTTGGTTTAGTAGGACTTATAGTTACTTGGAAATAGACCTGCTTAATAAACTTTAACCTGTTTAGTAATCAAGAAAATTGTGGTCAGTTCCAACATCCAAAGCAAGTCTGGAAGTTTTCATCCTTAGATGCACCATCTATCCAAGTTTAATCATAACAGGCTACAATATTATAAAGCTTCTCCAAAAAAAAATTACTCTGGTCACTCATCTGAAAATGTAGGTCAGATTTAGAATTCAAAGCAAGCCAGGAAGTGTCTATCCCTAGAAACATCATCCATGCCAATTTTGTTAAAAAATGGCTAAAATTCACTCATGTGGAAAATCTAGGTCAGATCCAGCATCCAAAGCAAGTGTGGTAGTGTCCATCCCTTGATGCATCATACATGCAAGTTTGGTCCAGGTAGGGCTTATAGTTACTTTGGAATGGGACCTGCTCCAAAAACTTTAACATGGTCATTCATCTGGAAAATCTAGGTCAGATCCAGCATCCAAAGCAAGTGTGGTAGTGTCCATCCTTTTTGGAGCAGGTCTATTCCCAAGTAACCAAACTTGCATGGATGATGCATCTAGGGTTGGACACTACCACACTTGCTTCGGATGCTGAATCTGACCTGTATTTTCCAGATGAGTGACCAGGTTATCATATTTTAATCAAATCAGCATGGATGATGTATCTTAGGATGGACATTTTCAGACTTGTTTTGGATTCTGAATCTGACCTATATTTTCCACATGAGTGACTAGAGTAATGTTTTTGGAGTAGCTATATAATATTATGGCATGTTATGATCAAATGATCAAACTTGCATGGATGGTGCATCTAAGGATGAAAAATTCCAGACTGACCAAAATTTTCTTGATTAGTAAACAGGTTAAAAGTTTTTTGAGCAGGTCTATTCCCAAGTAACTATAAGTCCTTCTTAAACCAAACTTGTATGGATATTGATCTTGGGATGAACACTAAGTAGAAAAAATATGATGTGAGATTTGCCTTACTTATAGATAACCTTCGTCGAAGTGAGTTTCGTAACCTCTGATTACCTATGTTTTTTAACAGACAATCTGTCCTGTATTTTTTTTTTTACCAACACGAACTAAATTTTACTGGTAAAAACCGACGGTCTGGTGACTTTCGCATAGACTGCAAGTAGATTACACTAAGATACATAATTCTATGCATCAATTTTTGATTTTGATGAAAGGTGTTGCCAGACTTTTTTTTCATACATGTGATAATTTTTAGACCAAAATACTGTACAGGAGTCTTCAAACTACTGGAATTTGGGTGAAAATACTGCACGTTGTTTATCAAAAAACTGCACGAAACTGTACAAAATATCAACCAAAAATCAATGTAAGAGGTTCTTTAGCTCATTTCGACGAAGTCGAGATGAGCCCAGCTATACCCCCGGCAACGGTGTCCGCGTCCCGGTTAAGTTTTAGGAGCAAGTCCATTCTCAAGTAACTATAAGCCCTACCTAGACCAAACTTGCATGGATGATGAATCTAGGGATGGACACTACCACACTTGCTTCGGATGCTGGATCTGACCTAGATTTTCGAGATGAGTGACCAGGTTAAAGTTTTTGGAGCAGGTCCATTGCCAAGGAACTATAAGCCTTACCTGGACCAAACTTGCATGGATGATGTATCTAGATAGTACGCTAACTAACCTGCTTCGGATTCTGGATCTGACCTAGATTTTGCACACGAGTGAATTTTAGCCATATTTTAACCAAATTAGCATGGAAGATGCTGTATCTAGGGATGGACACTTCCAGAGTTGCTTTGGATTCTGAATCTGATATTGATGGATATTGATCTTGGGATGTACACTAACTAGGAAAAAAATATGATGTGAGGTTTGCCTTACTTATAGATAACATTTGTTGAGGTGAGCTTAGTAATCTTTGATTACCTATGTTTTATTAGTAAATTTCAAATCAATGAACAAGTGAACCACTGCATGCAGTTTTATTCATTTCTGAATGCTGAATTTGGTAAAAAGACTTCCATGGTACAGTGTTTAATGCGAGAGTCTGGTTGTCTCCAGTCACCTACTTTTTTTTTTTTTTTTTGGTTGATGATACTAAAAGCATTTCTCTGTGTTAGAATTGACAATACTTATGCCTAAGCAGAGCAAAAAAAAAAAAAAAAAAAATTCCATGTTGCTGTCCCAAAGATGCTCCGATTATTGTCGTTTTTCTTTGAAACGTCTTTAATTTCTATTGACAAAACTTGACTAATTACAGTTGAAAAACCCCTTAATAAGGGTCTTATGAAAGAATATTTTGCCTAAAAAAAAGCTTTGATACGTTTTGGTTACAATGTAATTATCGAGGGAATGTTTTACACCTTCGATGCTGATGTTTTTACATAACCAAGCACTGTAAATCACGCGTCAAACAAGATTCCTGGCACGTCGATTTACCCAAATGGACCCAAATGGAATATTAAATATATATTATCATATTATCAAGTTGTTACTTATTTAAATTGATGAAAATAATGAACGTACAATTTTCATTTCCCGTGAATTTTGATGTACTGCTGTGAGCCCGTGAATGGGGTCAAAAATACGTGACATTTTGTGTTCAGCTGGTACATACCGTAAATCTGGAAATTTTTACATCGATTTATTTTTGCGAATCTGGTTCAAAAAGCTGTTGATTAATTTTTACGTTTCAAAATTTTGCGAATTGACATTGGTGCTAAAATTAAAAAGCACTTAAAATTTTCATAGCAGTTTATAAGTTAAGCATCTAGTAATATTAAACGATGCCAACATTAAATAATCAGATAATAAATTACGCATGTACTTACAATAAATTACACATGTACATACAATACTAAGCAATGCCAATGTTCGATAATAAGATAAAACATTAGAATTTAAGAGATAAAACGTATAAACTATTTAAAGTTTTAATAACATTTCAATAAATCACGCATGTACATAAAATATATAAAACGATGTCAGCTTTAACTAACCTTCAGATAAAAACATTTGTTCTTAGATAAAACAACTGGCCTCTCTTTCTTAGAGAAATAATTTAAAAGAGACACACTGCCTGTCAAACCATCGGACGATGTTGAATGTAGTGAAGGCAGTCTTACGCATGGATTGTCACAGGTAATTAGCTTGTAGTATAAACAGATTTCTGAAAATGACCACTGCTTACGAACACCTGTTCATGTTGTTAAAAAATAGCAAAAATTTTTGTTTTACATTTTTGTTGTTGTTGATTTATTTTTAGGAAATATATTTTTGTGAATGCAATGCACACGCAAATTTGCTAAAAATTTATCTACAGCAAAAATTTCCAGATTTACGGTATCACATGTATGGAATATTGCAGATGCAATTTTTTTTTGTTTACATGTTTCTTTACTATGTTCCCTGAAAACAAGCAAATCAAAAATCAAATAAACTGCAATATTAAAGTTAATAAGTTATGTAGCTTTAAAGAAAGAAATACTTGTTTTGGGGAATTATTTCATTTGAGTGAATACTTACTGCCCCACCCCCTCCATCCAATACTCCAATTCTAAAAATGTTGTAAAAAGGAATATACCCAATGGTAGATGTTCTAATTATCTTGTATGATTTCTATCAAAATTTTGAGACACCTTCTTGAACCCCCCTCCCCACATCCCACATTAATTTTTCCAGTTGTGATTAGATCACAGTGTTGAGATATAAGGTTATTGAGAGGAAGTGTTTTATTATTTCAAGTTTCAGATGGAATAGGAAAATTGTGTATGACATTTTCAGCTAAACAATTTATTTGGACAAAACATATTTGTGAAAATTGTTGAAATTTACTGTAGTCAACTCCACACAAGAGAGTGAGAGGGATTATTGGACTTGGAACCAATTCCCTGACAGAAAGTCTAGCTCCAGTGTTGGCTGCCAACAAAATCCCCCAAATTGCCACCAGAGAAGATGAATATGGATTTAGAGATAAGGTAGTGCCTAACTTGAATGGCTTTAAGTATACAGAGTTTTCTTGAAGAGTTACTTATAACTTTGTCACCATCACAGTTAACTGTTATGATTGTAAACTTTCAGGCTATATACCCTTACTACAATAGACTGTCATGGAACGTAGGATCTTTGTCTCATAGCATCATGATGGCAGCGGCTTACAGAAATTGGAAAAAGATGGTAATGAATTTAAAATTAAAAGAAGATGTATTTTGTGAAAACTTGTAAACATTTTTCAGTAAGTTGGATTATTATCCAAGTTCACAACATTCAAGTCTTGACCAGTTTTGGCAACCTTTTTAGCTCACCTTGACAAAGTTGAGATGAGCTTTTGCTATACCATCATTGTTAGCGTTGGTGTCCTGGTGAAAGTTTTAGGAGGAAGTCCTTTCCCAAGTAACTATATGCCCTACCTGAACCAAACTTGCATGGATGATGCATCTAGAGATGGACAATACCACACTTGCTTCCTATGCTGGATCAGACCTATATTTTTCAGATGAGTGACCAGGTTAAAGTTTTTAAAGCAGGTCCATTCCTAAGTGAAGTTCTACAAGCTCTACCTGGACCAAATTTATAGCTCCTCTGAGACAAAGGCTCAAAGAACTAATACTATTGCATTTGTGCAGTGAGCATAGACTTTTTAGAATATGGGCCATAACTCAAGAACTCCTTGGCTAATTTTTGTCAAATTTGTCAGAAAGTATCCTCTGCCCAAGATCTTCCATTTATTCTAAAACTAGGGATGTGACCCTTAAACAAGGGATGATAATTAGGAAAATAAAACCAAAAAATACTGGTTGCTAAAAAATCTTCTTCTCAAGAACCACCGGGCAGATTATCACCAAACTTATACATGTTGTAGATTAAAAATTGCTCAAGGCATCACCCTTGGGGCAAAGGGCATGGTCTCAAGGTCACTTCAAAGTTGACCAAAAATAATGTTTTATCGAAACTGATATTTTGCTTACTATAAGGACTAGGATCATCAAATCTTGTCAGTTGATGCATTTTAGGATGTCATATCATGTTGACTCAAAAGTAGGTCACAGTGCCCTACTTTTTAAATTTTGCAGGCATTCATTTTCAAATTGATTAAGAGGCATATTTTGAACATTTTAAGGCCTATAATCATCAAACTTTGTCAGTTGATGCATCTTGGGTCCTCAAAGTACAGCAACTGAAAAGTAGGTCACCTTGACCTACTTTTTGAATTTAATGGCTAATCATTTCAAAACGTTTAAGGTCAATTTCAGATACTGTGAGGTTAAGTTGGTACATCTTTTGACTTTCATACATATTTATCAAAAGTAGGTCACATTGACCTAATTTGTGAATTTTGAAGGCATTTGTTTTCAGATTGTTTCAGAGGCATATTTTGGACACTTTAGGGCCTCTGATCATCAAACTTTGTCAGTTGATGCAACATGGGTCCTTGGAGAATGTCAACTGAAAAGTAGGTCACCATGACCTACTTTTGAAATTTTATATCTGTATTTAAATATTTCAGCTATTAATTTGCTTAGAATCATCAAACTGTCAATTAATGCGTATCTGGTTCTCGGAAAATATCAGATGAAAGGTAGTTCACCTTGACCTACTTTTGATTATGGCTATTTTTAAATATTTTCAGCTACTTATTTTCTTAGAATCATCGAAATTTGTCAGTTGATGCATCTTGGGTTCTTGGAGAAAGTCAACTGAAAAGTAGGTCACCGTGACCTTTTTTTGATATTTTATGGTTATATTTAAATCTTTTCAGCTACTTATTTGCTTAGAATCATCAAACTTTGTCAGTTGATGCATCTTAGGTCCTCAGAGAACGTCAACTGAAAAGTAGGTAATTGTGACTTACTTTTTGAATTTTATGATGATATTTAAATATTTCAGCTGTTTATTGTCTTAGATTCATCAAACTTTGTCAGTTGATGCATCTTGGGTCCTCAGAGAATGTCAACTGAAAAGTAGGTCACCCTGACCTACTTTTGAAATTTATGGCTATATTTAAATATTTCAGGTACTAATTGGCTTAGAAGCATGAAACTTTGTCAGTTAATGTATCTTGGCTCTTCAGAGCAAGTCAACTGAAAAGTAGGTCACCATGACCTACTTTTTGAAGTTCAAGGTATTATCTAAATATATTTAACAATTAAAAGACTTCATCAGTTTTTGCCAGTTAATTCATCTTGGGTTTCTTAGAATGTTTTTAATCAAAATATAGGTCATGATTGCTACTTCTTGAAATTCAGTTTTTGCCAGTTAATTCATCTTGGGTTTCTTAGAATGTTTTTAATCAAAATGTAGGTCATGATTGCTACTTCTTGAATTTCAAGGCTTGATCTAAATATACAGGATACTTAAAGGTTTTAAATAGAAGTAATAGGTTGTACAATTTATCAGAAGAGCAATTCAAGGCCCTTGGGCCTCTTGTCATGGATGATGCATCTAGGAATGTTCACTACCTAACCTGCTCTGGATTCTGATTCTGACCTACATTTTCCAGATGAGTGAATTTTAGCTATATTTTAACCAATTTAGCATGGATGAGGTATGTAGGGATGGACACTTCCAGACTTGCTTCAGATGTTGAATTTGACCTACATTCTTCAGATGAGTGGCCAGGGTAATGGTTTTGGTGTACCTCTATAATTATATGACCTATTATGATTAAACTTGCATCTTAGGATTGACACTTCCAGACTTGCTCCACATGTTAAAACTGACCAACATTTTTTTTTATAAACCCTCCTCCTAAGGAGAGGAGGGTATACTGTTTTACCCTTGTGTGTCTGTCTGTCTGTGACAAATTTTTGGTCACAGTTTTCTCAGCAATTGCTCATTGCAGATACTTGAAAGTTTGGCACACTCTTTGTTTAGGCATGCTGTATCAGACCTGTTTACTCTTAAGATTTTGCCTTATTTTGTATGGATTTTGAGTCCAAAATACGTCTCACATTTTGCTATAATGGAAATACGGAAATCTATTGTTTCAATTTCAGCAGTTAGTTTTCGTTATGATCTGTCTCAGTTTGACGCTTTTTAATTGCTATCAGAGAGAGATTTCAAACACTTCAGTGATGTCAGGTTGCCAAAACGCGGTGGCTTAAAAAATGACAGAAACCCCTCGAAAGAAAGCAAGGTAAAATGTTATTAAACCATGTTTTGGTAATCAAAAATTTAGTTGTTCTCTAGTAATATATGTATAATCAATGGAAAGTGAATCTTACGGGCAAATGCCAAATCTCACTGACAAATCTAAACAAAAATACTGAGAGACAACAATTTGGGTAAACAGGTCTGCTATATGGTGGGATTCATTTTTGTGCAAATCTGATGTCAACTTCCTGTTTTTCTGTGTGTCTGTTCGTACCATACATAACAAATTTTGGTCACAGTTTTCTCAGCAACTACTACTGTCAGTAAAACACACTTATAGCGAAGTGCTAGGGATGTGCAATTTTGATTCGTTATAAACATAATTTGTTATATCTGTTTAGATAACAATACGTTCAAAAACCACAGAGATTGAAAAGCACTTTGCTGTAAGCGTGATTTCATTATAAATGTGTTCGCTATTACTGTGTTTTACTGTAATTGCAGAAGCATGAAATTTTAGCACACTCTTTGTTGAGGCATGCCATAAAATGGCATTTATTTTTGTTTAAGCATGTACAACACACATACCCCAAAAATTTCCTGTCGTTTAATTTTCGCTATTTTTGTATATCTTATTCATGACAATATCTACTATGTGTATGTACATTTTGGTCAAAATCGTTCGAGCCGAATTTGGAAAGGAAGTTCCTAAAGTTACCCCCCTTTGGCTGATCAGGAGTACAAAATAATTTCAACCAACTTACAATAAAATCCCTTATTTTAAAATATTTAAGTTTAGCCTAGCTGTCAAAATTTGCTGAATCGTTCGTATAAATATCAAGTACATAAACAAAGTGATTTTGTAGAGGTACCCTTCGATAAAAACGATTTTGAAGAATTTAAACTGAAAAACTATGGTTCATTTTTGCATTGAAAAATGCGGGATTTTCAAATGAAATATTTTTTTATGAAAAAATCTGTCGTTTAATTTTGAAAAAAAATAATTACTTCTTGTATCTGGTGATCAAAATGTTCTTGATAATTTTTTGAAAATTTTTTAAACGATGCGTTTTGAATTTATAGAGGAAAATCTCCCCTCCCCCTCTCTCCGTAAATTACATTTCTCACAGCGTCTTTCAGACTTGGGACGAAAGCAATGCTATGATTCTACAAATACAAATAAAAATTCCAAGCTGGAGAATATCTTTTACTTAAAAAATGTAATGTACATTATATTTATCACAAATATAAAAATTTACATCTGCATTTAAGGAAGATGAATAAGCAATTTCTGAAATTTTAAGACCCCCCCCCCCTCTCAATTCTTCTCTGCAATGCAGGGCATTCGAGCTTGAAAAAAAAAAACAAACATCGGTTACGTCTGCATAATATATATAATTGGCATATTGAACTCCTAAAGTAATGTCCTTCATTCATGTATACAGATTAAATATTGACTATTAATATTTTTTGTTATTCTAAATATTATTTTTTTAATATTTATATTTAGTAAAACTATTTTTCTAAGGATTTTATGACCACGTGTCCGGTTTGGAATTCATGCACACAGGTGCAGTTTCAAACCTTTATATGACTTCTACTTGCATTGAATATTATTTTTTAAGTGAACAAACAGTGGTGTATGTACAACTCTCTTGTGATGAAAATGGAATATATGTACATATAGGTTTTAAATTATTTCTGTTTTCAAACGAGAGCCCCCCCCCCGATATTGTATCCTTCTGTTGCTTCAATAAATAAAATGGAAATGATGTATTCGTCCATATTAACTTCAATTGTACCAAACTGTAAATTATTTATCAATAATTAAAATTATTCATGTGCCTGAATCATCTAAATGGTATCATCTACATTGGTATCAACATGCAGAGACATATATGTCTCTGGTATCAATCGTTTTGTTTTTATTCGAGGAAATGCGAACTGAAACTGTTTACAGTAAAATATTTTCTCACTGGGATGCAACCGTTGTATTAATTTCAGTAAATATTTTTTCACTGTTGATACTTACTTAAATTTGTATAAACTTTGGCTTTCAGTTCTTGTGTTCCTTGGAACACACTGTAAATGTATCTGTGTATTTGTGAAGAAAAATAAACATAATTCTTTGGAAACAGGAGGAATAACTCAGCTAAGGGGAGCAAAGACATACACCTGCTACACATTTTTAGAGTTGTTTCTCTTTGATCAGTGACCTTCTGAAAACAGTTACTCTTTTTATTTTATTTTTTTTCAAAGAAAAGAAAAGCAAGAAAATGTTTATTTTCGTAATATGATAATATTTAAACATACCGGTAATATTTATTCTCAATGTAATGCGGCCGATTGTAACAGGTAAAAGCAATGTAGAGTAGCATTAACATTTTTAGATTAAAAAAATGCCTTTGTTTATATCATAAATACAATATTAAAGAATTTTATAAAATTAACTAAATTTAGTTTAAGGAACCTGTCTTTTTTCTTCTTTTTTAAGGAGGGGGGGGGGGATTTATTGTAATTGCGCAAATGATCAAGGAAAGGATTTGGTATTCCTAAAGAAATCACAATAAAATCCTCTATTCTATTTTTTTTTTTAACATTAATTACATCGTGATCGTATCGCTCGTCATTTTGACGCTTCATAATTAATGTCAAATTTAACGTTATGTTAAACGTTTTATTGAAGTTGCAAGAGTTATCTCCCCCAGTGTGTTGTACGTCTTTAAATCTGATGTCAACTTCCTGTTTATCTGTGTGCCTGTCTGTACAATATGTAACAAATGTTTGTTGCAGTTTTCTCAGAAATTACTCTTTTCAGATGCTTGAAATTTCAGCACACTCTTTGTATTGGTATACCATATGGTGGGATTTATTTTTGTACGAATCCGATATCAACTTCCTGTTAATTCATGCGTCTGTTCGTACCATACATAGCAAATTTTTGTCACAGTTTTCTCAGCAACTACTCATTGCAGATGCTTGGAATTTTAGCACAATCTTTGTTGAGGAATGCAATATGGTGGGATTCATTTTTGTTCAAATCTGATGCCAACTTTCTGCTCATTCCTGTGTCTGTCCGTAACTGAACTTGTGTATATTCACATCAGTATATATTCACATCAGTGTATATTCAAGTCAGAGCGGGGTATTACTAGTGAGCACTGGCTCACAGACTTCTTGTTGAAAAAGATTCGTACAAGAGAAGTTGAAGTTAGAACAAGCAAAAGTGTTGGTCACTTGTTCGAATGAACAAGAAGGGGAAAAAGTTAATGTAGAGCCCTGCAAATATATGTATTATTGATGCTACTTTATCATAAGGTAATTTAATTGCCAATGAAAGTCTTCATTTTTGTTCCTTACCAATACAATCTTGAACTGAAGCACTTTGTTATTTAATTTTGAAACTACTGGTATTTCAAAATGTTCACTGGTGATACTCTTAAGGTTATTAATTGTTATTGATTCAGATGCTGAATTTTCCAGGTGATTGAATAGAAAAAAAATATTTTAAGAGTAAGTTCATTCTGGCATTCCAAATGTAAATAATCCTACCCGGACCAAACTTGCATAAATGTTGCATCTAGGAATGCACACAATCTGATTCAAATACATATCTCTACAATAAGCTTTTGCACACTATTAGAATATTTGGTTATTGTGGGACTTTGCCTTACTTAATAATAAAATTTGTTGATGTGAGCTAAATATGAAATCTTTGATTACCTATGTTTTTGGCTATATTTTAGATAATAATTAGACAGTCCAACTTAAAAATCAACAACATCCTCATTCAGAAAGCAAAAGACTTCAATCTGGAAATTACTGCAGAGGTAAGATAAACTCTTGTCTGTTAATCTTAAGGTCTCTTCACATTTTGTTCTTCATTTGAGAAGGTATGAGGATAAGGGGACATAATGTATTCAACATTGAAGATGCTTGTAAGAAAAAGGAATTAATTACATTTTTTTGGAAATACAGTGGGTCCTGTTTTATTCAATAGTCAAGTTGTCAGTCTAATTTTATCAGAATAGCTGATTAATGGAATAGATGAGAGCTCCATACTGAGTCCGAAGATAGATGTATAGAGCTACATGTATTTATAATACATCATAGCAAATTTTAATCTTGCACTTTTATTTTCGTTTGATTAGTTTACTTAGTGACTTTACTAAAATAAATTATTTTACTTACTTATGATTTAATATGATAACATTTTTCAAGAAATTGACGTATAAAATATATTCTTTGATAGTTATTGCCATCTTTATTCTGCACATGTTTACATTCCTTCTTCAGTAGTTGCCATTTTGGAAATGGAAGTAGACTAAATGCTTGACTAATAATGTTAAACTTTTTTTCCCTAGATAGATTGTAAATTAAAAATAAACAAAAATATGAAATAAATGTAACTATTTCGTTTTTATTTGTTTCTTTAATAAGGTTACATATTTTATAATGTTTGTGACAATTCTCTGGTCAGTGAGTTTACCAGTCTCGTACTTGTCTGCCATGTGGAGAAAGACAGTATAGATTTATAGTACGGGCCATTTGTGAATTTAACCATAAATTTTGCACTTAAAAGTGAACATGACCATGAAGTTAAACGATTGAATAGGCTTATTTCATTATCCAAGCAAATTGTCATACACAAGCTAATCAGTTCAATAATTAAGATTTCAAGCCAAAAAAATTGCAAATAATTGTCATAGTTAACAAGTGTGTCATTGATTAAGATTAAAAACACAAGCTGATCACCACAACTGTAAACAAAACATATCTATCTACTATGCCCACTATTAAGACAGGTGACTGTGTGCGTCCAGGCATAACTAATCCCCGCATTGTGTACTCAAGCCAGTCAATGTAAGAGGTGTCAGACAGTGTAAACAAAGGCTTCACATACCAAGTTGGAGGTGTGAACAAGGTGCTGATTATCAAAAAACACTATGATAGTCCAAATTTTTGTATCAGATAAAACAAAATTCCAATATTTTCTCATCAGAATATCAGGTGCAATTATTAATAAATATATAAGAAATGGTTTTGTGCTCTGTTATTATATGATCTTAAATTCACTGTCAAGGAATTTTTGTTACATCACTCAAAGCTTTGTGTCCAATATTTCAGACTTAAGATATCACTCTAAAAATTGTTGCAAATTGAAGATTGGTATCAGGACCAAGTCACCTAGGAAGGCCGAGATAGTTGCACTTGAAACAATTAAAATACAACTAGTAGACTAATTGTTCTCGAACAATTAGAGGTCTTTCCACCTTCTTTAAATTTCATATATTCTTCACATTTAACTCTCTACTGCTTATTTTTATACAAAAGAAACCAGAAATGGCTTGAGAGATGGAAAAAATGAAAATTTTAAAAATTTTTGAAATGACCTTGACCTTTGACCTTGAACAAATATTCAAGGTCAAAGGTCAAGGGTCACATTGCAATTAACCCCATGCTACAATGACTTTTAGTTTTAAAGTTATAAGGTTTACTAGTAAGCGCAAAGACATTAAAGGGCGATAACTCATATAAGGGGTCACCGGATACTTTCGCACTGAATAGATTAAAGTTGTGCCTAAAGACCCTGAATACATTAATGAAGGTTTCGTGTCTCTGCGGTTTACGGTTTCGGAGGAGTGGCGATAACAAGGTTTTTTGCACAAGGGGAAATAACTTTTAAAAGGTTTAAGCTTAGGGGACAAGATTGAAATCTTTGAAATAGTTTTAAAAGTACATATAAAAGATGCAAAGATATACTGTATATGTTGAAAGACAAAAAAGCTCTAAAAAGAGCTTTATTTCTCATATTTGGAGTGACCTTGACCTTTGACCTTGACATAATCTTCAAGGTCTAGGGTTAAAGAATCTAATGCAGTTGGTTTCATGTCTCTACGACTTATCGTTTTGAAAATTTTTCATTATTTGTAAACTTCAAAAACTTTCAGGGGCAATAACTCATAAAAGGGCTCAACAAATCCTTTCGTAATGAATAGATTGAAGAGTCTACGCAATTAGTCGAACACATTGGTGAAGGTTTCGTAACTCTATGGTTTACGGTTTCGGAGGAGTAGCGATAACAAGGTTTTTCGCACAAGGGGAAATAATTTTTAAAAGGTTTAAGCTTAGGGGACAAGATTGAAATCTTTGAAATAGTTTTAAAAGTACATATAAAAGATGCAAAGATATACTGTATATGTTGAAAGACAAAAAAGCTCTAAAAAGAGCTTTATTTCTCATATTTGGAGTGACCTTGACCTTTGACCTTGACATAATCTTCAAGGTCTAGGGTTAAAGAATCTAATGCAGTTGGTTTCATGTCTCTACGACTTATCGTTTTGAAAATTTTTCATTATTTGTAAACTTCAAAAACTTTCAGGGGCAATAACTCATTGAAGGGGTCGACAAATCATTTCGCAATGAATAGATTGAAAAGTCCTCTCAATTAGTCGAAGACATTGGTGAAGGTTTCGTACCCCTACGGTTTACGGTTTCAAAGGAGTAGCGATAACAAGCTATTCTTGCGAAAGGGGCAATAACTTTGTCATAGGTCATAGGTCAAACACGGGGGGTCGTTTTTCGGAATAACTTTTAATATCTATTATCATGAACTATAAAGTTTTTCGATACCTCTTGCGGTTTCAAAAGTCCGGGAAGAAAAATAATAATAATAATAATAATAAACATAAGCATTTCAAGAGGTCTTTCCACAGAAAGGTGGAAAGACCTAATTAAAATTTAATTCATTAATATTGAGTGATGTAACGGAGACACTTCAAGTTTAATTCAAATTAATTAATTACAACTGAATTATATCTTACTTGTGACACTCATTTTTGCCCCTTTATAAACAAAATTTCTGTCCATTGTTCTCATTTACACTCAAATCTAAAGACTAATACATAAAAAGATCACCTTCTGTTTCAGACGTAACAGGACACAAACTTCAGCACACAGAAAAGAAAATTTCCTCCAAAATTAAAATTAATTGAACAAATTTTTTATTAAAGGATTTGCACTTACATTTGGGCATTTTTTGGCCAAGTTTGCATAATCATATGGCAAAGGAAGAAAATTATATGCCTCATTTCAACATATAGAGATGTAACACTGGACACTGAAGCCTTCCAACAAACTTTTTTTTTAAATTTACTTAATTGTTAAGTTTTTACTTTGAATCAGATCACAGGAAACTTTAAGAAAATTTTAACTTAATAAATAAGTAAAGAATTGAACAAATTTTCAGTTTTATTTAAATAATATACATTGTATTGTTTATGCCCCTAATTCTACACAAATGTCATTTTATCTTCTGTCAAGAGATCAATCTTGATCTTTTCCAAGTTAAAGAGTCACAGAAGTGATCAGTGGCCATTCTATGACCTGAAAAGAAAAGAAAAAAATGGTGAAAAGGTAGTTTGACAAGGATATTAAGATCTATACTCATACTTTGATAGTGATGTAACACTGATCTCATGATATTTTCACAAATTTAACTTGGACACAAAAACTGGTGTCCTATGTTACATCATGTAATGAAGTTAAAGAATGACAGAACAATGTATAATACATACTATTTCACTCAAGTTTATTGTGTGTTTTGCACTTCTTAAAACACCAATTAGGTATTTTTGTCAGAGGCCAATCAACCAAAAAATATGCACATTCATAAATAGTGATGTAACAATGACACATTCTGTTGTGGCTTAATAATCTTGTCAAAGTTACATCTTTTATAAATTTTCAGATATTTTCTAAAATTTTCTAAAATAGAGTTTACAATGGTTATTACTTGATACAATTAAATTAAGCTCAATCAGTTGAAATTTAATCACATGTAAATTAACATTTTTGAATTAAAAGATTTAGGTATTACTTGATTGGGGGGCGTGATGTAACTGTGGACACAATCAGTCCAACCACAGTGTGAAAATAAATAAGCATAATTCTTATATTAATGTAGCATAGTTCAATATTTACAGTTTATTAGAAAATTAATTCTTATTTCTTTGCAAACACGCAAATCTGGCATTATATATGTTTCAAAATACATCCTTAAATCGCCGAAAAAGATGAGGTCCCCAAAAAATGAGAGACGTAACATGTAAATGACCTACCTACTACTCGCGTCTCCTGTCATCTTTTTCTTGGAACTGATCCAACACGTGCACGGGTCTCACCAAAAATGAAAGTAGAGACCAGAAAATGTCATACAAACAGGATGTCGTCCTCTGATCACCCGAGTATTTGATGTATGACACGTGTATACAGACGTAACGTTTTGACACGAAAATAAGATAAAATTATGATGATTATTTTTGAAATAATATTTTCACATTTGAACACAGCCATAGTTCATAAATCTTTTACGACGTCTCTAATTGCTATAAATAGAACATATCGATCGAAGTTTCCTTCGATTGTATCTGAAAGCGGCTGTGCGCGAGACGTAACAAAATTGACACGAAATGTTACATCCCCAAGCATAAAATTTAACCATTGTTTAATTTTAAAAATATTCAATATTTTTTTGACAAACCCAGTAAATTTAATAAATAAATTTGTATATAATAAACGAATCAAGAAAATTAGGTGGAATGATTTTATTTACTGCTGCTATTCCTTCATTTCTTCGGACCATATGAAAAAATGTCACAGAGATTGTCCACTGAATTGCATCAAAAACAATCATTACAAGTTTGATTATTCGCTTGACAATCATTAAAACATCATTAGTTATTAAATATGAGCATCAGAAAATTATTAAATAAGTTTATTCATCAAAGTTGTGAAAGAAAAAGAAATAAATGGCATTTTAGATAGACGT